GCTGAAACCATGGCTAGTCAGCCAGAGTTGAGGTTCCGGAAAGGCCCAGGAGCTCCTCAGGGTGCTGCAAACGACCTTGGGAAGCTTTGCTTCCTGTCTCTGTTCCCACAAACACTAACTGTCCTCCTCAGCTTTCTGTTGTTGAGTTAAACATTAGGACCAAAACTGGCTGTGGGAGGAAAAGGTTTATTTGGTTTACAAGTTACAGACCACTGAGAGGAAGCAACGTAGGAACTGAAGCAGGAAGGACAGAGGACACACTTCCTGGCTTCTTCCTGCTTCCTCGAAGCTTAGTGTCTTATGCAAGCCAGGGCCCAGGGTGGCACCACTCATGAGGGGATTGGAGAGAACACAAGATGGAGACCAGAGGAAGAGAGAGGGATAGGGAGGGGGATAGGGAGGGGGAGGGGGAAGGGTGAGGGGGGAGGGTGAGGAGTGACTCTTTAAAGATGCTCCTTCTTAACAGGTGCGTTCAGTTGACTGCCAAAATCCTGTGACTAACAATCACACTGATGTTAACCATTGCACCCAGTCAGACAAACCAATACATACTGTTGATGTCTGGTCCTGAGGCAGGAGCCCAGGGCCTCATGCTTACCACACTCCACCGCCGAGCTGCGCCTCTGCCTTGATCGGGGGTTCCTATCAACAGACATTGTTGGCCTAGATTTAACAAGCCTACTTTGTTTAGGGTTCTTAAACACCTCCCTTCCCACACACCAACACCTCCTAGGAGAGAAAGAAGTTGGTGGGGACAGGGGGCGAGTCCCCTCTGCTACTTCCCGCTGGGTAGGGTCATAGGATTCTTTTGGGGGCAATACCAGTGTCAGTCATCAAGAAGTCCAGCAGTCCAGGTGACCAGCAAATCAGCAAGCAGCAAACGCAGCAGCAGGACGAGCCAGCAGCCAGCAGTCCTCCTCCGAGCAGCCGCGCCCTCTTCCTCTGGGCTGTCATCTTTACACCCCTCAAAGTCCTCAGAAGTCAACTGATTCCACCTGGAAAAGACCATGGTCTGCACGAGACGCTTGACAGGTGTGGACAAACTAAAACCCCCCAACTTGGAATTTTAACAAAAACATGTTTACATCCCATAAACCAAAACATCCACAACAAGAGGTTAAATTTGTTTTGAGGTTTATTTATTTTTATTTCGTGTGTGGGTGTTTAGTTCTGTGTATCCCATGTTACGGTGCCTGCTGAGGGCATGCTTTGGCCTCCCTCGTGCTGGGGCTAGGGTTGCTGCTGATAGAGACGGAGACCCACACTTAATGAGTCTCTAGTAAACTAAAATAAGGTGCCCTCAGGTTCGGCAACACAACCCAGATCCACATTAGGAACACCTCCCCCCACTTCGCCAGAGGACGACAGATCAGCCAAACAATGTGGGACAGGTGTCACAGCACAGCAAACCCACCAATGGCCAGAGCTGAAAGCCTCAGGATAGCTGATCCCAGCACCCCAACCTGCATCAGAGCCGAGGTGCCCTCTTCCAATGTCCCCTCTGCTGGATGGCTCAGCCAGACGGTGGGAAAGATTGGTGCAGAAACTGCTGCCTGCTGGGGGCCCTGAAGCAGAGACTTGGAATGAGATAATGTGGAGGCCTTGCTAAAAGCTGTTTTACACAGGTTCTTGGTTTGGTTTGGTTTGTTTATTTTGGCATGGTTTGAGTGTGTGTGTGTGTGTGTGTGTGTGCGCGCGCGCGCGAGCGTGCGTGCGACGGGATCTAGAGCGTCATGCCTGCTAAATACACATTCTATTGTTGCGCGCCATATACTCTGAGGACTCTCCGTCTCTGTGACAGACTGAGGCAGGATTCAGACCCCAGAGGAGGGACAAGGTGGCCCCCAGTCATAAGTAACAACTGGCCCTGCTTTGCTTTGGGGTTCAGACTCCTGGAGTTGCATCCCTGTCTCTGTCTCTCTCCTGTCTCCAGGAAAAGAAAATCTCAGCTCAATGGCTCCACCTGGTGTCTGGCAGGAGCAATCACAACACTGCTTGGGAGCCACTGTGGAGTGCTGAATAAGGCAGATAATATTAAAAAATAATCAAATATTTGAGACATTTAATAAGATACTATTAATATACAAACATGTTTTTGTTTTAAAAGATGAGCCACGATGTCTGTTGCTTAAATTCTTCAGCAAATCCTGGTGAGGTGATGCATGCCTGTAAGGCCTGCACTTTGGAAACAAGAGGCTTTGAGCATTGGAGCTCGAGGTCATCCTTGTCTCCATAGTGAGTCTAGGCTAGCCTGGACTACATGGCAGCCATCTCTCTCTCTCTCTCATACATACAAATCACCTAAGAAAATGGAGAAGGAGAAAAAGGAATCCAAAAACATTTAAAAGACATTTTCTCTTAAAGGCCCGTCACTAAGAGTAGCATTTCTCTCTCTCTCTCTCTCACACACACACACGTGTATGTTTGTACACACGCATGCAGGCACCTTCGGTCAACACCAGCATCTTCTTCAATCACTGTCCACTGTAATTTTTGACTCAGGGTCTCTCAATGAAATGTGAGTTCACAACCAGACTAAACTTCCTGGACAGCAAGCCCCACAGACTTTTCTTGTGTCCGCCTCCTCAGCAGACTACAGATTCCTGCTTTTTAATACTTTTTATTTCAAAACAGCGTTTTACATTTTGTTTAGTGTGTGCGTGTACGGTGTGTGTCTGTGTGTGTGTATTCGTATGTATATCACTTGTTTTTTTAATTCTATCTTATTTGGGGTCTTTAGGCCTCTACCTCTCTTGCAACCTCTCAGCCCTAGGTAGGAGAGAGGTCAGTGGGGAGAGGGGGCACAGAGTCCTTTACTTCTACCGGCTGTTTAGGGTCCAGGGTTCTGTTAGGGCTCTCTACCAATCTCTGTCAACAGCAGACCCAGCCAGCAGGCTCCTCCACGCTGCTGCGCCTCGAAATGTTTCTATTCATCTGTCTGCTCCAAACCACCACATGCCTCTGGTCTCTCCAAACTGCTCCATGCCACATGCTACCCTCCCACACCGTACCATGCCTTCTCTTTCATCTTTACACCCTCAGAGCCCTGCACCATGCCCCTCTCCATGCTGATGGTTGAGCCCTTCCAGCTGGCAAAAGCCACGTCCCTCACAGAACAATTAACAGCTGTGGACAAACTAAAGCCCGACTAAAATCCCACTCTTGGTATTAAAACAAAAATATATTTAAATACCATAGCTGAGTTTACAAAGAAACCAAAAGTTAGGCACGTGTGTGTGCTCTGTGTATGTATATGCGTGCGAATTTGTATATGTGCATATGTATGTTTGTGTATGTGTACGTATATGTCTGTATGCATGTGTGATGTGTGAATGTGTGTGTGTGTGTGTGTGTGTGTGTGTGTGTGTGTGTTGGGGGCTGTTCTGGTGCTATGTACTCAAATGCTGATTTCAGTGCCTTGAGAGCTGGTTCCCACCCTGCCGTGGGCTTGGCTACAATGTTAAACTATCTCCTGTAACCTTGTGATGAGAAGGGATGTTCCCGGCTTATCCCTGAATGGCTGATGGAAAGGTCTACACCAGGGCAGGGCAGAAGGAGGTGGGTGTGGCTAAGGTTTCTGGGCTTTGGGGACAGGAGGATCTTGGGGAGGAGACAGTAAGGGAGGAGGAAGAAGGAAGAGACTGCCACCATGGGTCAGCAGGAGAAGCCCACGGCCGATTCCGCATGGATGGAGGAAACTGGCCCAAATGAAGAACGTTAGCAAGTATGTTGGGATCATGGGCGGGAGATAGCCAGATAGAAAGGATTAAAGCAGATGGCCTGGGGTTGAGGGCTTAGATGTGATATTGAGAGCATTGATATCTGCCATGCCCCAGGTGAAATGAGGCTATTCTAAAATCTGTCAGGTGTCTGCGTCTTCTATGGATTGTGAGAGCAGGTTAGGTGACGCAGCTAAAAATTACAGGGTAAGAGATACCCTTTATTTTCTGTAACGTGTGTGTGTACATGTGTGTACATATGTGTCTGTGTGTGTGTTGTGAGTCTCGGGGAGAGAAGCTCAGCCGGGAGGAACAGAAAAATGCCGCTTGTTCCCAGCACCCAGGTCGGGCAGTCTGCCACCACCGGTAACTCCAGCTCTGAGGGGACCCGGTCCTCTGGCCTCTGCAGGCACCAGTGCACGAAATAAAAATGCACTAAAGCAGGAGTTTCTGGGTTCTTGGGAAACTCAGTTGTGTCAGGCAACTATGGTTTTTGTTTCAGTTCCAAGTGTGGGGTGTGGGAATGCTTTCTCCCCTGTGGAAAACAGCCCTTGTGAGAAAGCGAGTGATATCTGTCAGCTGGAAACTACCTTGTGCGAGGCTGTGGGTTTAGCTAGCTGGAAAACATCCTGCTGTGGACTCTGAGAAGGGATAAATAGGAGCCCACAGACAGTGAGACAACGCTTTTTGCATCTCTAACTTCAACGAATGGCTTGCATCTCTTTGCTGGTTTTCAGAGGCAGAAACGCTCCAGAGACCTTTCTGTGCTGCTTTGGCCGAGTTTTGTTGCTTCACTGGGCTCTGCTGTTTGGGTCTTGCCGCTTTTGCTGAGTGATCCCCTGCTGCTGCTGCTGCTGCGGTTTGCTGCTTCGATGGTTGACTGGACTGCTGGTATCCTGACTGAGATTGGTATATCCCCAAAGAACCCAGGACCCTAATCAGCGGGTTTGCATGGTGAGCACTCAGCTGGTTGAACTATCTTCTACCCTCCACAACAACCACTGGCAATTATGGTCTGGATGAGAGTCCCCAATGTTTCAGATGTTGAAACTTGGTCTTCAACCCACGACACTGACTGCTGGGAGGTGGCAGAACCCTCAAGAGGTGGGTCCCCTGGGAGGTCTTTGGATTATTTGTCGCACATTCTGAAAGGGGCTGTGTGTCTCTCCACTCCCTGAATCATGATGCGAAATCTCTGCCACACACCTCCACAGTGATGTGTTGTGTCTGCCAGAGGCGTAAAGTCATGGAGTCCACCCAGTCTTGGACTGGAGCCCAAGGAACAGGAGCCCAAATCACCTTTTATTTATTTATTTACTTACTTACATATTTACTTGTTTTGTTTTTTTAATATTGACATTTTCTTTTTTATATACATTTTTTTTTATGTATGTGAACACTGTTTTCATGCTCAGCACAAGAGGGAATCAGATTCCATTACAGATGGCTGTGAGCCACCAGGTGGGTGGGAACTGAACTCAGGACCTCTGGAAGAGCAGCCAGTGCTCTTAACCGCTGAGCCATCTCTCCAGCCCCTTGTTTTGGTTTTCCTGAAATTCGGTTTCTCTGTGCAGTCCTGCCTGGCTGACCATGAACTCAGAGATTGGTCTGCCTCTGCCTCCCAAGTGCTGGAGCTAAAGACAAGCGCAACAACCACCCTGGCTATATTTTTTTAAATCAGTTAATTGCTTCAGTTATTTTGTTATAATAACATGAAGCTGAGACCCTGAACTTCCAATGCTTAAACTGCATCCGTACCTCATGTAAGTTTTGGCATGAAGATAGAATCAGAGAGTCGGCCCCTGCCAATCAGCACTTAGATTCGTCCTCATCACTATATCATCCCTCACGGTGAGCCAAGAAGCCAGCCCTTGTCAGGTAAATCAGGGCTGTGTTTTCCAAAGTCTTCCAGTTGCTACAGGAAGCACCAAAGTCTCAGAGCTGTTCCTCTCCAAAGGCCTGGTCCCCGAGTGACCTTCTCAAAGAAGGATGCTGGAGCATGTGCGTCCTCAGAATCCTCAAAAGGATGTTTCCTTGGCATGCAGAGAAGGTGGGTGAGGCTTGGCTGTGGTTCCTTCTTTCTCTTGTGGAAACTCAATTCCATTTCTCTTGGCAAAAGCACAGTTTATCTCCACAAATGTCCTGCCCTTGGTCTCAGGAATTACCACATAGATGTAAGCAGCCGTGAGGAGACAGAGTGCAGCAAAGATGAGAAAACTGTAGGCCCCAATGGCCACCTAGAAGAGAGCAGTGTAATGGAAGTTTTGCTTTCTTTAATCTGTTTTTGTGTTAATCTCAAGTGTGGGATTCTTGGTCTAAGCTTTAGTTTGTTCACAGCTGTTAACTGTCTTGTGTGGGGTGTGGCTTTTGCCAGCTGATAATGGCCTGCCATATTCGGCGTGGACTCGGAGGATATAAAAGAGAGCCCAGAAAGAGGTGTGGCATTTGGTGCCTGTAGCAGTTTGGAGAGAAAGAGAGAGGATGGGCCTGTGTGGCTTCGGGACATAGCTGCTTGGAGGAGACTGCTGGCTGCATTTGCTGTTGACAGAGATTGATATATCCTCAAAAGACACAAGGACCCCAAACAGCCAGGAGAAGTAAAGGGGTCTGAGCCCCCTCTTCCCGTGGACCTTCTCTCTCCTATGTAGGGCTGGGAGGTTGGAAGGGGGTAGAGGCTTAAACACCCCAAATAAAGTAGAATTTTAAAAAGTGAGTGCTTCAGAGAGGGGATGAGACAGGGGGACCTTTCAGACAGCATACTTGGTGCCTTGTGGGTCACAGGGACTTTATTCATGGCCAAATTTATCCCGCTCCTAAAGGGAAAACCAGGGAAAGCTGGGATCCTCCCTAACCTCCAAGGGAATCTTCAATCTTTGGCTCACAGGGACTCTGCGGCTCTGGTTGCTTTCCTGCCCTGGACATCTGGAGTTCCTGCAGACTCAGAAAAGGAAGGCAGCAGGGGTTTGCTCCTCCTGTGCTAACTATCCCTCTTGATCTTCATAGCCAACTCGGAGGCGCATCCCTCTATAACCCAGGCATGGCATACTAAAGGATCACAAATTGGGTGCCATGGCAGGAGTCTTAAGAGTGCCAGGCAAGGGTACAGCATTGCCTATCATGCATGTTAGATTCCAGGTTGGGTCGCCAGCACTGGAAAATGAGTAAATGAAAAGAAGAGGCCCAGAGCAAGTCTCACATAAAACATCTGACAGCTACCTGCACCCCTTCGAATCGGTAGAATTGGGGAGGATTGTTGTTGTGAGACAAGAGTTCATGTACCCCAGGGTGACCTCAGACTCTCTGTGTGGCTAAGGATGGCTCTGAACTGCTGATCCTCCAGGCTCACCTTCTAAGTGCTGCTTTTACAGACCTGTCCCACCGTATTCACTTTATGCTGTGCTGGGGAGCGAACGCAAACCTTTGCGCATGCTAGGTGGCCGCTCTTACCAAACGAGCCACATCCCTCGCCGTGGGGGGTGTTCTTCATAAGGGGGGAGCTACTCACTGCCGTGGGGTAAGGCCAGGTGGAAAGGGGGGCGTGGAGGGCCACTCACCTGGATGGATGGGAAGGCCAAGCCCATGATGAAGTTGCTGAACCAGTGCACAGCCCCGTCCACCGTTAACGCAGCTGTCCGAGACGATTGCAGGACAATCTCTGTCCTCAGCACCGAGGGGACAGTACCTGGTGGGGAGGGAGGCTTAGAGGCTCCTGGGGGCTGCTGGGATCTGACAAGACCTCACCTCAAACCTCACGCCCTTACAGCACCTCACCTCCCTGAGTGAGTCCACCCCTGCTGGGACTACACAGAAGCCCCATCTTTACCCCGGAACTATGGCGGAGGCTTGGAAAGCCAGGGGTAGCCCCGGCGCCGTTTCTGCAACTGCCTGCGAGCGAGGGATTGTAGAAACCCAGCTGATGCTTCTCAGGACCCTCACACTACAAATCCTCTCCAGCCCTTGCTTTCTATCAGCCAAATTCTGAAATTCTCGCTTGTCAGGGAGTCGCTGTGCCCTGTGCACCCCCGGCTTGGACGCTGCTGCCCTCTGTGTACAGGGATGGCACTGACAGTTCTCCACCTCTCTCTGAGTCCGAATCTTCGCTGTCTCATTATTGCTCCCGTAGGGAGTCTTGTCCCGAATGTCTGTGGCTATGTTTCTCACTAATTGCTACCTCCTTGGGGGACAAAAGGCTTGTTTAGGGGGCCTGGAAGATGGCTCAGTGAGCAAAGCTGTTTTCTGCCAAGCCTGATGGCCTGGTTGGCCCTGAGACCACAGAGTGGAAGAAGAGAACCACCTCCCATAAGCTGTCTCTGAGTTCCACACATGCTAAGGCAGGAAGGTTGTGAGATCGAAGCCAACCTGGTGAGAAAGATCTTATATGTAAGATTCTGACTCCCAAAGAGAAAAAGGAACGCTGGAGCCACATTTGAAGGGCAGTGGAGGAGGGGGCAAATGGACAGCCACCAGTCAGCATGTGTTTGTTGAGCACCTTATGCGTGTTGGCTCTGGAGGCTGGTTGTGTAGGGGAGGTGTGGAAGAACTCACTGGGGCCTATGGCATGTCCCACGATGTAGGTGAAGACACAGACGATGGCAAGGTACGACAGCTCAGGGACCGTGCTCTGTGGGAGAAGCATATCTGTGGGCCTCTTCCTGGGACCTCCGGGGGCCTCAAGCCTCACGGGGAGGCGAGTCCTCCTGTGGGTTCCCCCATGAAGTCTGAGCCCCACAGAGGCTGCAAGGGCTCTCTGCACAAGGTGGAGGCAGGTGCAGATAAGGACGGAGACAGCGTTCTAATTCACCAAGACTGAGGCAACCTTTCCTGATGGTGGAGGAGCTGGTGAGAGGCCCACCTTCCACTCAGGTCTGACTCGGGCGCCTTTGCGTTTTATTTTCATGTCATGCCCTCCGAGCATGGATTGTTTCTATCCCACCAATGAGGACCAGAGCCCATAGATCCCAAACCAGGAGGACCTCAGCCCCTCAGCAACAAAATTACAGACTGTCCCACACTTGAGGTGACTTGGTGGGGATTTCAACTCGCTTGAAAATTGTCTGCAGAAAATCCTTCTAGGTGCCCTAGGGGTAAGGGAACCCCAGACCACCTCTCTGCTCCTAACAGCCAACAAAATGGCAGAAACCAAACCAGGTTAACAGACTTTAAGTGAACGAGGTGGCAGGCTGTAAGCTAAGTGCCAGCTAGCTAGTGATAATCAGAGATGGATGCTGCAAAGGAGCCGTGGCTGGCAGGTAGGATGCCAGGGAGGGTCCCCAGAGCCTCTGACAAAAGGCCATGAGCTTTTCCTTCCTTCTCTCACCCCCTCCTGGTTTACACAATAAGCTCCTGGCTGCCTGGGACTACACAGTCCCCAAGTATTTTATAGCACCTATTTTAACTGTTTCCCTTCCAGGCTGAGTCAGCTCTGGATCTGGAGCTGGCTGACCAATATATCATGAAGATATTTTGAACACTGTGACTTAGCTCTTGACATCTGGCTAGATTCCAAGAGGGGATCTGGGCCCAGCTGTCCCCATTGCAGGGGACTGCTTCAAGATTGCTCTTATAAGTCAGAGCCCAGGGGCTAGAGAGATGGCTCAGCTTTTTAGGGCATTTGCTGCTCTTCTAAAGGACCCGAGTTCAATTCCCAACATGGACACCAAGTGGTTCACAACTGCCTGTGATTCCAGCATCACGCTGAGTTACACGCCTGTCTTCATGGGCACAGTGGAGCAAACTCACTCATGGGCTTCCCATTGGGAATGGGTTTTTCTGAGGTGGTTGTCCATGAAAAGAGGCAGCTGGAGAGGACTGAGACCCATCCACGCAGCTGGGGTCTCAGACCCCCTACGCTGGCCTCCCCCACACGGCAGGGCGTGATAACAGACCTGAAGGAGGAGCACCGTGGTCAGCACCAAGGAGGCAGAGATGCAGATGGCATAGCCAGACAGCAGGAGGATGCGCCGCCCCAGACGCTCCACGGCGACCGCCTGCAGGGGAACGGGTGGTGAGCGCCCTCTTGGTACTGAGGACTGACCCGGAACCAGAACCGCCTCCTCTCGTGCTTGGCCCTCGTTCGGTGCCACTCCCTCACCCCTGCTACACCGGGTGGCCTATCTGGTGTAAGATGCGCCCTGGGATTCTACACTACTGACTTTGTCGTTTCCTGCTTCCCGCAGCGCCCTGTCCCTGAAGTAACCACATTAGTTTTTTATGTTGATGTGTGTGCCTTCTTGGCTTAATATACACTCGGTGCATGCAGTGCTCCCGAAGGCCAAAGAGGGTGTTGGATTTCCCAGAACTAGAGCTACAGCGGGTTATGAGCCGCCCAGTGTGAGTGCTGGCGATTGAACTTGGGTTCTGTGCAAGAGCAGTGAGCGCTCTTGGCTACGGAGCCATCTTTCCAGCCTGATAATCATACCTTCTAGTCTCTCACTTGGAAGGCCTTCTCCTGCAGGTAGCTAATGCGCGGAGGTGACCAACACAGTCTACAGCCTCAGAATGCACCTCTCATCTCCAAGGAGAGCAAAGGAGGAAGGATGCTACCTCCAATGGGTAGGCAGCTGAACCCTTTGCTCCTCCCCTCACCTTCTGGGTAAGATCCATCCATCATCCTAAACACCAGGCCTTCTTCCCCACTCCCTGCTTGGAGAAATCCCAGACGGCCAAATAGCTCTGTCCCTGAGACACAGTCTGGGACCCCACCCGAGGTGACACTGCCTTCCCCTCTAACTTCCTCTGTAGGAGACTGAGATCACCACAGAGAAGGGCGGGCCTTCTCTGCCTGGCAGTGACCACCTTTGTTCTGGAGTCACGGGGAGGGAGCTTCACTGAGAAAATGCCTCTATGAGATCAGGCTGTAGACAAGCCCGTAGGACATTTTCTTAATTAGTGATTGATGTGGGAGGCCTCAGCCCATCGTGGGTGGGGCCTCCCTTGAGCTGGTGGTGAGCAGCTCTGGCCTCTGGGCACACACAGCGTGTCTTCCAGGCTCAGGCTGGCCCCACTCCACTGCTGTCTTGGTGGCCGTCCTTTGGCACTGGCATCTCCAAAAAGCTGGGGTCCTCTGCTGCAGCTGGGCTGCGCCTTCACCAACAGCCTCTCCTGGGCTCTCTTCACGGTGCCAAGCCTCAGCTTCTCTGCGTGATCCCTTCAGTCCTGGGCCGTCAGCTGCCAGTGAGGCCGCACCAATGGCCTCTCCTGCCCTTCCACAGTGCCAAGCCTCAGCTGCTCTCTATGACCCTTCCTGCCTTCAAAACTAGTACCACCTGGGTGCCTCTTACACTATTCAGCTAGTTCAGCTGCCAACGGCAGACACAACCTTGACCGACTCTGTAACGGAGCCTCCGTGAGCTGAGGAACCACTTCCTAGAAGACTTTCACCTCACTGATGCTGGTCTCCTTAACAGCACATTCTTCAGTCCCAGCTAACCAGAACCACAGATTCTCAATTCAAAACAGCAAGCACCCCTGACAGAGTCTTCAGGTGGCCCTCAGACTTCCTGTGGAGCCCTGGCTATCCTGGAACTCATCATGTAAACTAGGCTGGCCTCGAACTCAAGAGATCTGCCTGCCCTGCCTATCAGTGCTGGGATTAAAGTCACGGGCCACCACTGTCACAGCAACACCTCATGATCCTGGAATTAAAACCTGTGTTAGTCAGTGTCCTTTAGAGGATCAGAATTTAGAGAATGAACAGGTATATGTAGAATGAATATATATAATAAATGGCTCACAGGCTGTGGTTCAACTAGCCCAACAATGGCTGTCTACCAACAGAAGGTCCTGGAATCCAGTAGCTGTTCAGTCCACGAGGCTGGCTGTCTCAGCCGGTCCCCAGGATACACTGGAATCTGAAGAAGTCGGCTCTAGCACCAGCAAAGGAATGGACTTGCCACTGAGAGTGAGAGCAGGCAAAGAGTGGATGCTTCCTTCTTCCGGGTGCTTCTTGGATGTCTCAGAAGGTGTGACCCAAATTAGAGGTAGACTTGCCCGCCCCAGAAGATCTGGGTTAAAAGTGGCTCTTCCTTGGTTCAATTCCCAGCACCCACATGGTAGCTCACACCTGTCTGTAGCTCCAGTTCCAGGGGATCTGATGCCCTCACATACATACATGCAGGCAAAACATCAGTGTACAGAACGAAAAGTAAACGTGTGTGTGTGTGTGTGTGTGTGTGTGTGTGTGTGTGTGTGTTTGGGTGTATGGATGTGTGGATGTGCATGTGTGCCTTCCATTCCAGACAGTGGTGGCACACACCTTTATTCCAGCACTAGTGAGGCAGGTGGATCTCCGTGAGTTCTAGGACATCTTGGTTTACAGAGTGAGTAGGACAACCAAGCCTACACAGAGAAACCTTGTCTCAAAACACAAAACAAAAGGATGAAAGGGAGAAAAGAAAGGAAGAAAGAGAGAAAGAAAGAAATAAAAGAAAAGAAAGAAAGAAAGAAAGAAAGAAAGAACGAACGGGCACGTGTGCCCTGCTGCTTGGGCTTTAGTTAATTCGAGATGTAGTCAAGTTCATGACCAACAATTGCCCTCATGTCTGGGTTTGCTTGTTTGTTCTTGAGTCTCAAGTATCCCAGGCTGGTCTTGAATTCAGTCATCAAGGATGACTTTGAACTTCTGATCCTCCTGCCTTCGCGTCCCAAGTGCTGAGATTATAAGTATGAGCGTGGTGTGCAGTTACTACAGCTACTGGGGCCTGAACCCAGGAACTTGTGTGTGCCAGGCAAGCACTCCACCAACTGAGCTACACCCCAACCCTTGACCAAGGTTACTCAAATAGTATTGTGCCTCCAGGGCCAAGGTCACCCTCACTCTACTGGCCTGAGGGGCTTCTATCTTCCAGTCAGGGGCTTTTCTGGGACCCTGCAATGACAGGCCACTCCCCAGTAACTCACGGAGATGAGAGTCATCACCAAGCAGATCAAACCAGCACCCACGGTCACGTACTGGGACTTGGTGGGGTCCACGCCAGCCGACGTATAAATGATGTCTGCATAGTAGTGGACCTAAAGCACAGACAGGGAGGGCTGTGAACAGATGTCCAGGACATGTCACTGGAGTCCCTTTCTCACTTTGAGCAAAAGACAGTTTTGGGAGGCTTGTTGGCAACCCTGGGACAGGATGGACATGGCAGGTCGTGGTGAGGCTGGGCACCTGGTAGATGTGACTCTGTCCTGGTGTTCAAGGCTCTGCTGGCCCTGAGTCTTGGCTTCCGTGCTCATCAAATGAGTGCCAGGCCACAGGACCGCCAAGCATCTTTTCCTGTGTGACGTTACAAGCCTGCAAACTCAGGCTTTCATTTGTTCGGGGCCAACTCTATTCCGGTCCCAGGATAGTCACAGAAAGCCACAGAAGCCAGTCCCGAGGTCACTTGCTAAACAATTCAACTCCCGAAGATGGGGTGTTACCTCTTCCTATTCCCTTAGAGGCCAGCAGGGCCACCTGTCCTTTCTCCAGTGGCTTCAGAGTGGACATTTGAGATTTTCTAGCTATTTGCCCATCCACAGATAGAGTGAAAATACCCACCAGAGAACATGACATCACTTTTCACAGCAAATGAGTCTACCAGGGCCTCCTGACTCGGGAGGGATACACTAATGGCCCTTCTCTGGTCCCTGTGATTGGGACCAGAGCTCAGCCACTTTCCCCAAAGGCTTCTTATGGAGAGGCAAACAAACAAAAAACACCTGCAGATGTTCCTTGGGGGACCAGGAAACCAAGAACAAAGGCATATAGCAAAAGAAAGATAAAGGGTAAGGAAAGGCAGAGAGTCTGAGCCACCTCTTTCCCCTGGACATCCTGTCCTAGCCCCCCAGGACCCCGTGGCGGGCCTGCATTGGAGCAGCCAGCAGTTTCTGTAAATAAGGCCTGGTTTTGCTCTCTGTTTCCACTGGAGGCCTCATATCTTCCTTCCTTCCTTCCTTTCCTTTCCTTCCTTCCTTCCTTTCTTTCTTTTTTCTTAAAGATGTGCTTATTTTTATCTTGTTTACAGGTATTTAGCCTGTGTGTGTAACATATAGGACCCATGGAGCCCAGAAGAGGGTGTTGGGTTCCCTGGAACTAGAGTCACAAATAGTTGTGAGCAACCATGTGGGTGCTGGGACTCAAACCTAGACCCTAGGCAGGAGTAACCAGTGTTCTTAACCCATGATCTATCTATCTATCTATCTATCTATCTATCTATCTATCTATCTATCTACCTACCTATCTATCCATCCATCCAGCTACCTATCTCTCTCTCTCTTGTTTTTTGTTTTGTTTCGTTTTTAGAGACAGGGCTTTTCTGTGTAGCCTTGACTGTCCTGGGCTCGCTTTGTAGACCAGGCTGGCCTCAAACTCACAGAGATTCGCCTGCCTCTGAGTGCTGGAGTTACAGGTGTGCACCACAATGCTCTTTCTTTTTCTTCCTTCCTCTTTCTTCCTTTCTTTCACTGATGAGCTATCTCCGTCTATCTATTTATACATCTTTTTATTTTTATTGCATTTATTTAGTCTCTCTCTCTCTCTGTCCCTCCCTCTGTCTGTCTCTGTGCAATGCCCACATTCTATAGCCCTTGAGTGGAAGTCAGAGGAGTTGGGTCTCTCAGTTATCATGCTTGACATCAAGCACGCCTTAACACCGAACCATCCGGCAGGCCCAGGTCCTGTTTGTTGCAAGGGGAATACCCGTATGCTCCCAGCACCCCTCCTCCCAGCACCAGCTTTGCTGCTCATCCCTCCTGGAGGCCAGACTGAGGTTTACAGGAGTCAAAATGCAAAATGCTACTCCTTAGCATTTTGAATTCGTTCAAAAAGACTCCAGGGGACCAAAAATCTGGGGTGCGGTGGCACTACGCACCGAATTGATCCCAGACAGCTGCTGGCCGGCCATGAGCACGATGATAGAGATGAGCTGCCAGCGCAGGGGCCGAAAGGTGAAGAGGTTGAACACGGACAGGCGACCCTCCGCTTGCTCGGTGCGTTCCTCTGTGCGCATTTCTTCCATCTCGGCTTCCACGTCGTAGCTGTGACCTCGCAGCCTCCTTAGAGCTACAGAGCAGAGAGGCAGCACAGCACAGCATTCTCAACCTCTGTCCTCCTGTTCCAACCAGGCCCGTCACAAGGACACAGGCCTCACCCTAATCACCACTGCTCACCCAGCGCAAGCTCTCCGCTCTCAAACCCTGTCCTCTGACCCTGTGGGGAGCAGCCTGCGTCTCAGTACCTTGTCTGGCCGCGTCCTCGTCTCCTTTCTCAATCAGAGTGTAGCGCGGGCTCTCGGGGAAGAAGGGCAGCGAGAAGAGCTGAATCAGTGCAGGGACCCCCGTGAGAGCCAGGAGGATTGGCCAGCCTGGACGAACACAAATGGCGGCCTGAGACTTGAATCCGCTGCAGGGGACCTGAGGTGCTTCCGGTCTTCTTTCCCACTCCCACCGTGACCCAACCATGTGACAAGCGAGGGTGGTGGGCACCTAGTCCTTGCCAAGATGTGGCTGTCCACAAAGAGACAGGGGAAAGGTCTTGGTGGGTACGAACACCCACCTACAAATCTGTGTTTGTTATGCATGCCCAGGACCCCAGCGTTCGGGTGGGCCATTGGGGAGGGTCGGAGAAGCAGGGGCAAGCAGCTCCAGGGAGCTTCTTGGCTGGCCAGCCTAGCCTGGCTTATTTCTCCCATCTCTAAGACTCAGGGCCCCTGCCCTGGGCAAGGTCCTCTATATTCACAAGCTGACCTAAAGGTCACCAAAACGCCTTCCTGTTTGGGCCACTGGAAACTTCGGGCTCAGCTGTGCCACTGGCTGTACCATGCTTGCCCACGGCTTACTACCTCCTGCTCCCTCGCTCCTACACTGGCTAGTTACCTGTGGCATTGCCGAGGATGGCCTGCAGGCTGAAGATCTGTCCCAGGAGGATTCCAACGACGCTAAACACCTCGGTCATCGTCCCTAATGTACCCCTCAGGTTCCGGGGTGCCAGTTCTCCCAGGTACATGGGAAGAGCACTGTAGGAGATGCCTGGCTCAGACAAAACGGGAATCAGGTCCACTAAGAAGACTCCTCCGCCTCTCAGAACCAGCGCCCAAGGTTGCTCCCCCCCCCACCCCCAACCCTTGCGTCTCCCGCAGGGAGGCTGCTGCTGTGATGGAAGAGGCTGATCTTGATTGCTTAGGTTGAATCTGCAACCCCAGCCTCCCCCAACCTGTCCCTTTCAGCTGGAGACATGCTAGACTGGGAAAACGGTTCCAAGGAATTCCTTTTACTAAAATCTGGCATTTAGACAAAACAAACAAACAAACAAACAAACAAACAGCATTCGCTTAGTGACTTGAGAAAATAGTCCCTATCTGCCAAAAGGTATCTTATCTCTAGCTTTTCTGTTAATATATGCTGTGGTATCTGTTAGTATATCAAGGTTGATGCCAGCCTTCTGCCCCCATCAACCCACTACTCCCAAGAACCTGTTATATACTTCAAGCCCTCCACCTAGCTTACAAGGTCCCTCCTCCATGGTCACCTGTTCCCTTAAAACCCTAGAGATCTCTCCACCACTACTAACCCTAGCTCCCTGTGTCTTCTCTCTGCTTTCTAAAAAGACAGCCTTGGCAGCTTGGAACAAACTTGCTTTTCACCCACAGAACAGCTTTTTTTGATTTCTTCACTGTGCTCCAATTTCATTAAAAAAAAAAAAAAAAAAAAAAGATACTTTGTCCTTCCTGGCCTCTGGGAGAGTCTAGGATGTATGGTAACTCTTTGTTGTTGTTTTGTTTTGTTTTTGTTTTTTGAGACAGGGTTTCTCTGGGTAGCCTTGGCTGTCCTGGACTTGTGTTGTAGACCAGGCTGGCCTCACAGAGATCCGCCTGACTCCCAAATGCTGGGGTTACAGATGTGCACCACCGTGTATGGTAACTCTTTATGTGGACTTAAATATCTGTCTTGTTTTGGTTGATTTTCCCTTTCGCTTTTCCTTTCTTCCAATCTTTCTTTCTTTCTTTTTGTTGTTTTGAAACAGGGTTTCTCTGTATATCCCAGGCTGTCCTGGAATTCGTTCTATTGATCAGGCTGGCCTCGAAACCTCAGAGATCGGTCTGTCTCTGCCTCCTGAGTTCTAGGATTAAAGGTGTGTGCCGCCACAACCTGGTAATTTTCTGTTATTTTGTAAGCACACATCACTTACATGGCCTTTTTTTGTTTTGTTTTGATGTGGTACTCATGCATGCTAGGCAAGTACTCTACCACTGAGCTGGGACCAGACCTTTCGTTTATTATTTTCAGTGTGTGGGGGTCTGGGGATGGAATCTAGGGTTCCACTGTACCACTGAGCCACATTCCTAGCCCTAAAAAAGAAAAGAAAATATTACGGTTAACCTTAACTGCTGCTGGAGACAGAGTCCAGAGTCTTCATTCTTTTCCCTTGAAGCCACTGCTTCTCAGTTTAAACTGTTAGCCCTCTGGTGGTAGAATGAAAGTGGCCCCCTTGGACTCGGCATTGTTGGGGGTGGCCTTCTTGGAGAAGGTGTGTCACTGGGGCATGGGCTCTGAGGTTTCGGAAGCTCAAACCTGTGGACCCTTCGTAGACCTCTTAGCTTTCTCTCCAGAACCTTGCCTGCCAGCTTCCCACCATGAACCCCTGAACTGTGACCCAGCCCCGATTAAATGTTTCCTTTATAAGAGTTGCTATGTTCCTGCTGTCTCTTCACAGCAATAGCAACCCTAAATACCTTCCTTGGAAGATAGATGCAAAACTGGGCTGGGTATGTGCTCTCCTCCCCCTCTCCCCTTTCCTGTCCTTTCTCTTCCTTCCTTCTTTTGAGGTCAGGTCTCCTGAGTGTTAGGTCTCAAACCCCTGACTAAAGGCAGGGTGCCTAGTTAACATGTCAAAGTAGACCCTGGCTGCCAGGTTCTCCCAGCATCCCTCAGTCCCTATCTGCTGCAGAGTCCTCCTGCCTGTCATCCCCCTAACCTGTGCTTCTCCAGCCCAGGGACCGAGTTTCCCCAGTGGCTCCTCCCTATATAATCCATCCAGCCATTTTAGTTCTGCTGCTCCTTTTACCTTTTATCCTCCTGGTCTCCTGGCTCTCTCCTCCCCTCCACCCTCACATGGCCCAGCTCAGTCTGGACCCTTCCTGGACCTTTGTCTGTGGCTATGCTCTCCCTCATGGCCACAATAAACCTTCTCCACCATACCTAGGAGCGATCATGCCCCCCTCTTATTCCCTGCCCCCTTCATTGATATAGACTTGGCTGGCCTGGATCTCACTATATAGACAGAGTTAGATTTGAATCTACAGCGATCCACTTGCCTCTGCCTTCTGAGAGCTGGGAATTCCAGCACGGTGGAAGACTCATTATGTTAAGGGGAGGGGCTAGAAAGCATGGGGCTTGCTAGGGCCTGGGACAGGAAACTGAAGGAGACCCAAGGAGGAAAAAGCAGATAGCCAGACCCCTGTGTCCAGTGTTGGCCCCTGGTGCTGGGCACCATGTCTCAGAGCTGTCCCCTGACCAGTGAGAACGACCTGAATCTTCAGTGGCCACCCCCAGGTACCTGCGCAGATTCCCACCAGCACTCGAGACAAGATGATCAGCTCAAAAGACCGGGCCACTTTGCTGGCTCCCATCAGGATGGCAGAGGTTATAGCGAAGACATTGTTGATCAGCAGTGTTCCTTTTCTGCAAGACAGCAGGGCCCAGGGGTGCCCAGCAGCTTTTCACACCAAACCCAGTAACTCCAGGCTGTTCCCTGCAGAGGAGCTAGAGCATGGCTGAGAAGGGCTGGGTGCTGGAGTGCCCCCGGAGTCATGGAGGTGTGGGCGTTCCTGACCCTCAGTGTGATTAGTGTTCAGTTGGCAGCTCCGGTTGCCCTCCCCACCACCACATCATCCAGTAAACACCACTTTCTCTCTCCCCAGCCCTGCCCACTTTGAGAAAAACCTCCATATTCCTGGCATCTCCAACACCCTCACCCGGAGCCACCAGTACCTCCAAGTCCAGCAGTGCAGCCTCATCGTCTTCCTTCTCACCGACAATCCTGAACTGAGGTTCACTTCCCAAGCAGACCTGCCCTTTTTGTACTTTTAATCTGGTTTGGATTAGTTTATTTCATCAGCAGAGATAATCCCTCAGTTAGGTCGTGGGAAGGGTACGCCTCATGATGGTGCTAGTGTTCTCACAATACATTCCGTACTGCCTTCCCCACGTACACAAAAGGCGGCCCAGGCTGACCAAGCATGGGAAGAGCAATGAAGAAGGAGGAGTTTGTCAAAGTTCCGGGAAGACAGACATGGGGTGGGAGGTAGCGGGAGTGGGGGAGGATTGCATTCCTACTGCAGCTGCTTGGAGGTGGGGCTTCCTGGGGCTGGGGGTAGGCAGTCCACTGGCGAGGTCTAGACCAGACCTGATGCGGGTCAAAGGTTCTGACCAGGAAGATTCCCGTAACAGATGGGGTGCAGCTCGGGACTAGGGACCGCTACAACCCACAGGCTGAAACCCAGTGGTCTGTGGAGGGGACGAAGGGGAGGGCTGAAAACTATCCCGAGCTGGCCTGTCAGCCATCTTTGTCGTCAGCTTGTTTTGGTTTTTGAAGTAAGAGCTCATGCGTCCCAGGCTGACCTTAGGTTTGCTTTGTAGCCATCCTCCTGCCTCCACCCCAGAGTGCTAGCTTACGGCTGTGTTCTATGGCAGCCACTCCAGGACCTGCTAACTGCTGGAGTATCAGTTGCAGAGGACCTAGCCCCTGACTGCTCAGGTGAAGCAGGGCTGATAGGGTCCTTATAAGAATGTCCTCTGCTGCTCAACACTCCAGGATTGCCAAGATCCACAGGTGTGCCCTCTGGATTTTTCTGGTCTTTTTTCTCTCCCTCAGGCTGCCGTAGCCTCAGAGCGAGCCCCTGAAAGAGCCAGGGGGATAAATACCACATAGCATTCCTGTGCTGCTGATACCCCTTGCCCTAAGACACCCGATAGGCTCAGAGACGCTCAGGCTGGTGGGATCTCCTTAGGCAGGCTGGCTGCACCTCATTCCCTGGCTCCTTATCTGCAGTATGACACAGGTTAAAGACTGTCTTTAAGAGCCTGGAGGTGAGGGCACACACCTTTGATCCCAGCACTTGGGAGGTAGAGGCAGATGGATCTCTGTGACTCAGGTCAGCCCAATCTACACAGTGAGGTCTTGAGGCTGTGTCTACAGAAGAAGGAAGAAGATCCTGGGCATCTAGCACAGTCTAACCAATGTTTGCCAGATGGTAACTGTGTATAGCCTGAGCCACAGCACCATCAGCCTATCGAATTCTTTCTCCACTCACATGCACAAGAAAAGGCAGGTTCGTTGTACAGCAGTTATTTTCAAGGAGAGGCTTCTGGGTTCAGTTTTCATGAACTGACCATTTCCAACTGAAAATATTTTCTTTAATGAATGAAAAGGAGACTGCCGTGTTTGTAGTTGTTTTTCACTAGGGGTTTCCCTCCCCATCCTCACACAGCCTAAGCTCAAGTGAGCAAGCCTGCCTGTGCAGAATGCGGCCTCACCCTGTGAGCTTAACTCAAGCCTCCCCTCCTGGGGACCTTGACCTGCACAACCCTCTTCATCTCTGGGCCAAGCAAAGTGCACAGAGATATGAGACCTTCACTTCCAGCAGAGATATGAGACCAAGGCACCTGTGGCGACAGCGAGTGCCCAACCTCAGGACCACGTGGTGCTGAGCCCTCATGAGAACTGCTGTTGGAGCCTGAATGAACTCCCTTGAGTGGCATTTTTGAACACTTGCCAGAAGTGCTCCTGAGGCACTGAGCTAAGGACCATGAGGACCTTGGCCTCCCCTGAGGGCAGCACCCCAGGGCAGGTGTGGGAATGATGCTGTTCCAACGCAGCTGCCCGGAGAGAGGGTCCAAAGGGTCTGTGGCAACATGGCAGCTGCCTTTCAGATCCGAGTTTCAGGTGGTCTCAGCTACCACCAGGGCTCCATCATCAGAAGAGCCTGTGGCTTGCTGAGATAAATTTCAAGTTTGGGAAAGAAGTCCTCTACTTACCTGCCCCACTTATTGACCATCAGGCCAACAATCAGGGACCCCAACACGCCTCCCAGAGGGAACATGGAGACAGTGCAGGACCACAGGAGCAGCAGGGTATTCTCATCCATGAAGGTTCCATGTCGCTCAAAGTATGTGTCATTGTAAAACGACTTCATGACCTGAAAGACAGGGCCCATCCATCAGGATACTATGCAACTCACAGAAATAGTGATGTAAGAGCTCTTAGCTGCCCCTTGTTATCTCAGAGGAACATTCCTGGTAATGCCCTCAGGACACAATTGAGCCCAGTGGTTTTCTGTTGGTCCCTCAGAGCAAAATAATATTGTGTGTGAGGGGAAGAGATGGGAAGCCAGCCTGAATTAAAATTCACTATAACAGCATTATTCTGTCAGAGGCAGTGCAGGAAAGAGTCACACTACTTGGGAGACATGGGGCAGTGAGTCAGGCTCCAGAGCCTCGTTTCCTCACCAGGTGTAGAAAGCATTTGCTTCTGTACACACCAGGCTTGTGTTGCTATGATAAAATACCTAAAGCAACTGGGGACCCAATGGTTTCATTTCATCTCGCAGCTCTCAGGTCACACTTCCCCACTGAGGGAAGTCAGCGCAGGAACCCAAAGAAGGAACCTGGAGGCAGGAGCTGAGGCAGAGGGCATGGAGGACTGGTGCTTACTGGCTTGCTCAGCCTGCTTTCTTAAAGCACCTGGTGCTGAGGTTACATGGCTGCACCACCATACCCAATCTTATTCAGGGCTGGGGAGAGAACCCAGGGCTCCAGGCATCCTGGGCAAGTGTTCCTCCATCTGAACTGCCTGCCCAGCCCTGGGCATCTCTTCTAAGTAAGACAGAGGCGATGTTCCTTCGCCATTATAATTAATGTGCTGGCTAGTTTTATGTCAACATGACATGAACTAGCATGTCATGTTGGGAGAGGGAGCCTAATTTGAGAAAATACTGCTAGTAGACTGGCTTATAAACTAGCCTGTGCTACATTTTCTTGATTCTTGGTTGATAAGAGAGAACCCAGCTTGCTGTGAGTCATACCATCCCTGGGCTTCCCTATCATCCTGGGCCCTGGGTTTAATTCTCGACACCACAAAAATCAAACAAACCAATAAACCTCAGTGCTGGGCAAAGCGGCTTATGCCTGTAATCCCAACACTGGAAAGGCTGAGGCAGGAGGATGGCTCAGGGCCAGCTTGCCACCTTGATGTACATAATGTCTCAATAAAAATGGGACTGGAGGCAGTAAGATCGCTCCGTGGATGGAGCTGCTCACTGCCCAGGCTGATGGCGACCTGAGCCAGACCCTAAGGTAGAAGCAGAGAGATAATTCCTGTACATTGTCTTCTGACCTTTACACACTCTCACTGTGGCAAGTAATGCCCTACACGTATGCAGACACACTCAACACACACTGGGTAGATTAAATACATAAATGCAGTAACACAAGTCGTCTTCTTCTTCTTCTTCTTCTTCTTCTTCTTCTTCTTCTTCTTCTTCTCCTTCTTCTTCTCCTCCTCCTCCTCCTCCTCCTCCTCCTCCTCCTCCTCCTCCTCCTCCTTCTTCTTCTTCGTCACTCTATGTAGTCTTAGCTATTCTGGAGCTTGCTGTCTAGAACAGGCTGGCCTTGAACTCACAAGAGATCCTCCTGCCTCTGCCTCCTAAGTGCTGAGATTAAAGCACTTTAATCTCCATGCCTGGTGCAATAAAATCACCTGGGCTGGTGATATTGCTCTATTGTAGAACACTTTTCTGGCATGCATGGGGCCCTAGGGTTTGAGTCTTAGAGTTTCAAAATATACCACCACCGAAACCTTCTTCAGAGCTAAGATGTTCTATCAATGATAATAAGACTAATATATGTATATATAATGTACACATATGCAATTCATATGTACACATATTCACATGTGTGTATATACCTGGGTAACTACTTGCTTTCCCTCTTACAAATGATAGCTGTAAGGTAATGACATTTATTTATCTACCTTTGATGCAGGGTCACACTGTGTGACCCGAGCTGACCTCAAACTCTCAATCCTCCTCCTTCACTTTCTCAGCTTCTGAGACTTTAAGTGAGCATCACTGTGCCTAGCTCCTAGTGACATTGACTTTTTAAAAATACTGCTGAATATTGCGCACAGTGGTGCACGCCTATAATCCTAGCACTCCAGAAGGCAGAGGCAGGTGGATCTCTGGGAGTTCGAGGCCAGCCTGGTCTACAAAGTGAGTCCAGGACAGCCAAGGCTACACAGAGACACCCTGTCTCGGAAAAAACAAAACAAAACAAAACAAAAGATACTGCTGAACTTACACACTCAAGTGCCACCTTAGGAGCTTGTCCCCTTTGTCCCTTCAGGAACATCCTTTCTGCATCTGTCCTTGTGAGCTCTGCCTCAGTGGTCTCTCCCTCTGTACCTCAAATCTCCTATCAGTATACACATGGCTCCTACTGTGTGAAACCCAAACAATGTCCCTCATCATCTCCCTGCTAAACCTCCTTCTTAGATACTCACATGTAGCCAAATGTCTGCCCTGCCCACCCTTCTGCTACACAGCACCTGTCTCCTCTTGAACTCACTGTTGCTTCTCCTTGCCCCAAACGCAATCCCTAAATGCCAGCAGAGTTCAGTTCTTGATATGTCTCCGTAATCTACAAACGGCCCTCCCAGGTGAGCAAAGTGGGGCCAAAGCCTAAGGTTCCTAGACAGAGAGTCCAGGCCACATAGCTCTGATGCTCCTGGAAAAGATGACATTGCTGGGGAAAATGCCTCCAGCTGCCCCGTTCCTCAGAAGACGGAGGCATCCAGAAGCAGGACAGCAGCTGGCTTCTACCCGCGGGACCCACCTTGCGCCCACCTTGTGTGGCGTGTTGATCACGGAGATGTTGTAGCCATACTGGAAGACGGAGCCAAAGGATGCACTTAGGGTAGCCAGGGCCAGGGTGGGCTGGAGGCGCTGCAGGAGAGAGTTCCAGGGTCAGGGGCTCTGGAGGGCTGGTTCCTGTGGCTTCTAGGATTGGGGTGGGGTGAGGGTGTTTAGGCCTCCACTTCCTCTTTATATGGAGGGGGGGGTCTGTCTGGGAGCAGCCTATGGTCCTGGAAGGGGGAGGAGGGGTTTTTTTAGGAAGGCGATCCAAGCAGATGTTGTCAGAGCTCTGAGGCCTCCTTTCATGTTTGTAGGTATTCCTACATTTGACCTGAAGGTACAGGTAGGTGAAGTCTGTGAAGCAGGGACACCTATCTGGCTTCCCCAAGCTTCAGGGGCCTTGGATGTGACCATCTGGGTAGGCACGCCCCCAGGACCTCCTTGATAGACTGACTCCAGGGCTCTCATCCGCATACAAAGGCCTCCAGCTTGCTGGGAGAGAGGCAGTTTCCAAAATTGGCACTTACCCCTTCTAAGTTCGGCATGGGCAGAGGTGTCCCTGTGCCTTTGTTCTCCGTCCTCATTCTGGTAGGCAAACAGGTGTGCTCTGCCTCTTGGATGCTACCTGGCCCTGCTGTGCCGGCTACCTGCTGTGCCAGCTGCCTGCTGTGCCGGCTACCTGCTGTGCCGGCTGCCTGCTGTGCCGGCTGCCTGCTGTGCCGGCTGCCTGCTGGATCTCCTGTTTCCCCAAGGCTAACCTCCCACACGATCTTGCCCTCTGGACCTTGATGACTCTCTGCAGGAGACCATTCTCCTTGACAATTGATAAGATAGGTGTTGATGCTCTGCCAGGGGAGCCATGTGCAGAGGAGGTAGTCTGCATCCTACAACCCTCAACCAGGAGCCTGTTTCCTGTTGCCCCAAGGAGGGAAAAGGCACTGGTTGGTCCCCTGAAGCTGTGCTTCAACCTCGGAGGCTTCTCTTGTGTTCTTTCCACAGCGGTGCCTCCTTCACGCACTGACTGTCTGTTTGGGGGAGAGCACCCCAATTGTTTTCTGGTGCAACTGTGCTGGCCACGGTGGCAAACACCTATAGTATCAGTATTATTATTATTTTTTTTAAATGATATGCACAACAGATATTATATGGAAGAGATTTCTTGGATGGCGATGGAGAGAGAGAGGGAAGGAGAGAAAGAGACATGATAAGAGGGAGAGTGTGCCCTGACAGAGAAAGGAGAGAGAGCAGGAGAGAGGGAGAGAACAAAAGCAAGGGAGAGAGGAAGAAGCAGGGGTCCTTTTATCCCAGGCCCCTGTGGGTGGTGACCAGTGATGACATCATAGGTTACTAGGCAACCGAGAAACAGGCTACCTAAAGGCTAATATTCATCCCTTTTTCTATAATTAAAAAAAAAAAAATGAGGGCTTTGGATTACTTCTCATGTAAGGGAAGTGAAAAGTATATAAATGTAGGTTCATTGGAAGCAGCTCTTGCTTACCATACAAGCGGGTACAAGAGAGAGAGAAAAAAAAGTAAGAGGACCAAAATGTCCAGATTACATGGTGAGGAAGGGGAAGGCCCTGCCCTGGAAAGTTCAGGGTAGTGGGTGGAGTTTGCCAGACATGCACTGCAGCAGACAGGGACTGAGGAATGCTGGGAGAACCTGGAGCTGCTTGTCCTGGGCCTAAAGCACACCATTCCAGCCTTTTGTTGATAATTTGGTACCAGGCAAAGATATCGATTATCTTTAGCTACTTCCTGCTCACACTGGAGCCACTATAGGGAGGTCAAAGGGCTGAAATGCTGGCCAAGTCCAGGAAGAACAGGCTGTTTTGATGCTGCCCAGGGTTTGTGAGAACATCCATGGCTGGGAGGGAAAAGCACAGGTCCAGCTTGACGGAAGTCTGTGAGGTCAGAGCACCTGTAGGAAACACCTGGGTCTGGCAGGATACTGGAACATATATACAGGCAGAAGACAAAGTTAAGTAGGTTATGGAGAAAATCCTTTAGGTGTACATGTAAAACTTTTGGGAGAGTGAACTGAGGAGGAAGGTTTGGATCAAAGAGGAGACTTGAACATGGGAACCTCCATTTACCCAATCACTGGCAGTAATTAAAAGGGTTTTATTTTCAATATGTCATTTAAGGAATACTGAGGCCAAATTTGGTAGTTGAGGTGGGTAAGCTTAGAGGCCCTTAAAGCAGGCACTAGGTATAGAAATCTGAAATTCTCCAGAAGACACCCCAGAGGAGAATCTGGAGGAATGGATGAATGGACTATTCCCCCTGGGAAGGTAGGAGTCAGTTACCTGTCAAGGCATCCCAAGAGCAAGGTTTGACTCAGTAAATAGATTAGTATGGTACAATCTGTTCCAACAGCTTATCAGCATTGGCCAGAGACCAAGCCCATAGCAGACATGGTTTACTGAGCTAGGATTTTATAGGTGTGCAAGAAGGGGAAGGAGAGAAACTGTGCTGGTAGAGAGAAAATCTCACCCAAAGGGAAAGAGGTCCTAGATAAAGGTTTTGGATATAGGTTGGAGAGAGCAGTAGGAAACATTTGTGCCAACCGGAAGTGAAGACTCACCAGTTAGCCAGTGTTGATGGTAGGAATGTAGCATTTGAGGAGCCAGGAAAGGGAAGTCCCAAAACCAGGGAAAGGGGAGGAATCCCACCCTCTGAGATAGGCAATAAATGCAGTAGCCCAAATGACCTGAAAGGTGGATTTCCTGCAGCTTACAAGAATTCCTTTTAAGTTTTATAAAGGAGATAAAACTTTAGACATGCTAGCATCACAATTGTAGTATGCATTGAATCTGCATTGTAGAAAAGGCAGGAGACAGACACCTTTGGGTTAACAGCACAAACACTCTCTAAGGTGGACTCTGGAAAGGCAGAGGCCTTCCGTGAAGCAGAAGGGGTAAAAGCTCACTTGTTCTTAACTTGTAGTATGATTACATGTTATGGAAGAGAGGCCTTTTCCCCCTCTGTCCAGAAAACTGGATGTATAGAAGTCTAGCACAATGGGGGAAAAATTTTAAGCCTACACCTAAAAGACAAACCAAAGAAGATTTAAAATCCTGCGCTTGGGCCCATGATAGTGGAATGTTTTTTTAAATGAGAGTTAGATTAATAAATTAGAGCTCTAGTGATAAATGCCAAAGCTCTGGACAGTCAATACAACAGTAGAATATCAACAGGAAGAAATATGAAGCCTTTTTTAAAAATCTATTTAGGACACCTTAAATCATTTTAGACCTTTTAACCTTTATAACTTGCATCTATCAACATTAAAACATCTTCTTAGACCCTCAAACATCTATAACTGCCATTAACACTTTTTGGATCCTCAAACAGTTTTTTAGAAGCTCATAATTTAAACTTCTGTATCCTTAGGCCTTGTACGAGGAGACATAGGCGAGACTACTGTGAACATTCATTATTCTTTAGCTGAAGGGATGGTAAAAGGTTACATCTGAGACCTGTTTTAACAAAGCAGACTGTGTCTAGACCTGACAGTAGCAGCTCTAGGAGTGAGGCTTAAAGCCTGGTCTGCTGCCTATGATGAGGACTAAGAAGACATCTGAAGTCTCCCAAGAGGAAACTTGGCAGTATGACCGTGGGACCAGAGTGTGAGGTTATAACAGGCCTGCAATGCCACCCTGGGCTGGGTAAGGTGGTGGAGGTGGCTGAATCTAGGAGCTGCCTGTCTTCCACCAGGTCAAGGAAGGCTGGAAGGCTTGTGTTGATTAGGCCTTCATGTCTCTGCCCATAGGGAGCATTTTGACTTTCAAAGGCCAGTCTGTCGGCAGGCAGGGCATGGCTTGTTGAGGACCCCTTTAGCTGCATTTGAAACAATTATCTAGCAGAGTTGACTTTGGCTAAACCCCCACAGGATGGGGGATTGCAGACCTCTTTTTTTTTTTTTTTTTTTTCTGCAGGAATGCCAACAGCCTCAGGGCAGCAGCCAAGGTCTGAAATATAGTTTTGTGCTGTAGCTGAGCCTATCGGGAAGACTCCTCTCAGGCAAAAATATTATTTTTACCACTTCCTGTATGGTGACTCAGGGACCATCCTCAGCTGTTTAGTTAAGATGGCAGTGAGACCATGTCTGCATCTTTAGGACTATAAATATATTTTGGACATGTTACAGGACTTGATCTGACTGACTATTAACTTGCATTGAATACTAGGACTTTAGGATTTAGTATATAAAAAGTCCATAGCTTATAAAAGTCTAAGGCTTTACTATAGATTAATAACATTATCATTTTTGGAAAACAAGACCAAGCATATTTTAACCTATTCAGAGTGAAGATATAGCACAACGACCAAGTTTTAACATAAAGAAATAAATGCCCCTAAAATTAATAGATCTCAATTTAGAGTATAAGTAAAAATTTATACGTAGTAACTCCCAAGTTATGAGTTTTAAAACCAACAATAGAGTAGAACAGTGTAAGGAAATTTAAAATTACATTTGAGTTCATTATGTCAAACTTATTAACCAGAAAGCTTAGTGGTGAATCCAGATCACAGGCAGCTCATGGTGGGAGAAAAAGCATTTATTTATTAATTTAGGAAGTGATAAAGACATAGGCAGTTAGAGAAACATTTTAAATTAGCTTGTTAATCTTGATAGACCTTTATAACCTTGAAATTTTAGCATTTTTTTATAAAAATTATTTTGATGCTGGAGAGATGGCTCAGCACTGGCTGCTCTTCCAGAGGACCTGAGTTCAATTCCCAGCAACCACACGATGGCTCACAGCCATCTGTAATGAGATCTGGTGCCCTCTTCTACCTGCAGGCACACACGTAGACAGAACCTCGTATACATAATAAATACATAAACAAATCTTTAAAAAATTTAAAACAATTATTTTGAACCAGGGTTGAATCATATATACAGCATGTTGTAAAAACATAACTTTAAGTTTATATAAAAATCCATACCAATTTAAAATGAACTTGTTGCGCTTAGTCTAAGAGAAGATAAGATAAAGAGAGTTAATTATGACTAAGGAAGTCTTATAAATGTAAACCCAATGAGCAAATTATATAAATGATTAGATAAGAATTTATAGCACTAAAAAGTTTTTTTAAGAGTAGAGTGTACAGAAATCAGGAAGAGTTTTTAAAAGCATTGTTTAGAATGCATGGTTGGAGGTCTGCAGGAGCGGGGGAGGGGCATGGCACCCCTTCTCTATTCCAAAATCAACATGGCAGCTTGCCCTGTGCCTCGCGCAGTGAGACCTGGCTCATGCGCCCCAGGGTGTTTGCTGGCTGGCGGGTCGTCCCAGCCCAGCCCAGCTGAGCGGACATCTGTGCAACTGAAAATGATCTTCTGCGCATAACAATGAGAGCCTGGCAGGAAATTCGCTTACCTAACAGGGACGGTTTAGAAACAGGTTGTGTCTGAGTCCACAGTGGCAGCTCCAGTGGCTAAAAGTGACATCCGGCGCAAACATCCCAGTTTCCCCAAGCCGATTCTAGTGCAGTGTGGGTTGTGGGTGAGGGTGTAACCCAGTCTCCACCTTGTCCTTGGTGCTCAGAGCACAGGGCAGGTCACTGAGTCTGAGCAGCTGCATCAGAGGGACAGGTGTGCATTGTAAAAGGCAAGGGAGAGAAGTTGAGAGAAAGTGTAGGTTTCAGGCATAAGTGGTTGAATGGTGGTCAGTGATAGGTGAAACAGAAGACAAATCTGTTGTGGGTATCATGGTTCTTGTAAGGGGTTCTGGCGTGACTAGACCAGAGGCTACCAGGAGAGCCCTTCCCGGCCAATGCACCAGTGCTTTTTTTTTTTTTAATGGCGTGCACAACAGATATTATATGGAAGAGGTTTATTGCATGGAGATGGAAAGAGAGAGGAAAGAAGAGAAAGAGACATGATAGAGGGAAGGGAGTGCCCCGACAGAGAAAGGGGAGAGAGCAGGAGGGAGGGAGAGAACAAGAGAGCAAGAACAAGAGAGAGAGAGGAAGAAGCAGGGGTCCTTTTATCCCAGGCCCCTGTGGGCAGCGACTAATGATGATATCATAGGTTACTAGGCAAACAAGAAGCAGGCTGCCTAAATGTTAACACTCAGCACTTGGGGCCCAGGGACAGAAGCACCATGGGTTTGAGGTCAGTCCAGGGAACACAGTAAGGCCTTGTATCAAAAACCAAAACAACAGCAACAAATATCCTAGGGCTGAGGAGGCGGCTTCATGGCAGTCAGCTGGTTAGTGTGTTTAAGACTCTGGATTCCATTCTTAGCACTTCAAACACAAGACAAGACAAAAAGGCAGCCTTAATAATTTTATATTTTTAATTAATTGTTACTATAATTATTGTTGTGTATGTGTAGGGGTATGCATGTGTCATAGTGAACATACAGAGGTCAGAGGACAACTTTCAGGAGTTAACTCTCTTCTACCATGTGGGTCTTGGGATTGAACTCAGGTCATCAGGATTGGTGGCAAGTATCTTTTGGGCCTTCTGTGTTTTGTTTTCTCTCTGTGTTTGTTACTTTTCTTCCACTATGATAAAACACGGTAATCAGAGGCAACTTAAGGAAGAGAGAGTTTATTTTGGCGTATGGTTCAAGAGAGAAAAGAGTCCATCAATGCCAAGGAGCATGGCAGCAAGTGGCAGGCAGTGGGAACAGGAAGCCAGGAGCTCACCTATTTAACAGCAAGCACAAAGCAGAGAGAGTAAATTAGAAGCAGGGCAAGAATATGCAATCTCACAGCCCACTCCAGCGACCACTACACGGCCTAGACCTTCCCAAAGTGTGTCACCAACTGGGAACCAAGTGTTCAAATACCAGAGAGATACCATGACCAAGGCAATTCTTATAAGAGAGGCATTTAATCAGGGATTGCTTACAGTTTCAGAGGTATAGTCCTTTATCATCATGGCAGGGAGCCTGGTGGCATTCTGGCAGGTGCTGGAGCAGTAGCTGAGAGCTATGTCCTGATCCTTAGGCAGAGAGAGAGAGAAAGAGAGAGACATTGGGACTGGCTTAAACTTTTAAAACCGCAAAGCCCACCCCCAGTGACACACTTCCTCCAACAACTCCAAACTTCCTTGTCCTAATCCTTTCAAACAATTCCGCTCTCTGGTGAATGAACATTCAAATACATGAGTCTATGAGGACATTCGTATTGAAACCACCACAGAGGTCATAGGCCTAGGGAAAAACTTATTGTTTTGCTAAAAGGTCATTGTCAAAGTGCCTTCTAAATGTGTGTGTGTGTGTGTGTGTGTGTGTGTGTGTTTATATCCATATACTGTGCTGCTCTCAATTTTAGTCAGAAAAGCTTCTTTTTGCAGTGAGCACATGGATCAGGGCAGAGACTCATATAATTGGTCAAATAATTCATATTCTCACACTATCAGATTCTGAGAATAGTATTGCTGAGAATAGTGTCCGTGAGTGTTCCACCTGAAAGGGGACATCGTGGTCAGCACCCCCAAGGCTCGGGAACATCACGGAAGAAGGGCAGGAAGGGATGTGAGAGCTGGGGATGGTGGTGAGTGCTGTGAATGCTGTCCCCTGGACGCGACATGGCTATTCCACTCGTGAACTCGAGGCTGTGTGGCTAACTCTGTGAGACCAGCACAAGACAAACTGGGCAATCTTCCAGCATAGAGGGTGGAGGGGTCACAAGGCTCTGCCCTCAGCCGAGGACTCATTGGCAATTAACGAATGGCTCCTTTTTTCATTTTCCTAGACAGGTTTTTTTCTGTGTGGTCCTGGCTGTCTTGGAACTCACTCTCTAGACCAGGCTGGTTGTAAATTCAGAGATCTACTTGCCTTTGCCTCCTGAGCACTGGGATTAGAGTCATTTTTCTTTGGGGCAAGAGGTCACTGGTTGGTTGGCTCCAAGGGACTAGGAGCACACTCATTTGTATCCTGCAGGGCTCAGTGCAGGATTCAGAAGAAAAGAGACAGGATTATGTTGGGGGCCACGGAAGGAGTTAGAAGTGGGGAATGGCAGTGAGTCTGACTAAAATGCATTGAATTCTCAAAGAATGAATAAAAATACTAGATATTTTAAAAAATTATCTGTAGAGTGTGGTGGCACACACCTGTGATTTCGGTATCCATGAGAGTCATCACAAATTTAAGTCTAGGTTTGTCTCTTTGTGCATATTTCAGCCATTTAGGTCCACACAAGAATACCTCACCAACCAACCAACCTGAGTGGAACAAAAGAAGAAAGGAAAGGAATCAGGAATCTTGGCATACACCTCTAACTCTCAGTGAGAGGCTAGAGGCGCAAAACCACAGGTGTGAGTCCTAGTGTCTCAAGGCCAGAGAGCTTGGAGTTATGATGCCCACAAAGAGCAAGATCCAACCCCAGCCAGGAGGGGGTGGAAGAAAGGACGAGAGGGCTGAAGGAGTGACCCTTCCCTTCTTCTGATTGGGTGGTGCCTGCTCACGGTGAGGGTGGACCCCACAGACTCCTGGAAAATAGCCCCATGGGCACACTTCTCGGCCACATTCTCCAAACACATTTTTATCCACCCACTTAAAACCATCACAGTGGTCATTTAAAGACATCTTTAGGGACCTGGAGTGACACAGCAGTTAAGAGCACTGGCTGTTCTTAACAGGGACCCAGGTTTGTGTCCCAGCACCCACAGGGTGGCTCACCGTTGTCTGTAACTCCAGCTTTAGGGATCTGACGCCCTCTTCTGGCCCCCAGGGGCACTGCATGCACGTGGGGCGCACGCGCGTGCACGCACACACACACACACACACACACACACACACACACACACACACACACTAAAGATAATAGGTCTTTTGAAAGCCACCTCCCCCCCCCACACTTGTCAGATTGCCATCCTTTGCCACCATTCCTGTTGGTTCACTCTCCCAACCTCTCCTTCTCACAGTGGCGGTGTCTAAAACCCAGGACCTTACACATGCCAGGCAATGCTCTGGCTCTGAGCTACTGCCCCAGCCTTCACTTGCAGTTGTACTTCGCTCAATTTTAGCCAAAAGAATAAGCAATGCTTCGACTTGTTCTCTGTGTTTTTGTTTTGTTTATTTAGATCCAGACACCATCGTGCACACCTTTGATCCCAGCATTCAGGAGGCAGAGGCAGGCAGATCTCTGTGAGTTTGAGGCCAGCCTGGTCTACCTAGCAGGTTCCAGTACAGTCAGGACCATATGAAAAGACCCTGTCTCATTAAAAAAGCAAAACAAAAGATTCATTTTTCATTATTTTAATTGTGTGTGTGTGTGTTCGTGTGCAGGTATTTTCACGAGTGCAGGTGCCTGCGGAACCTGGAGTTATGGGTGGTTGTGAGCCATGTGATGTGAGTGCTGAGACCTGAACTTGGCTTCTCTACAAGAGCAGTGTGTGCGCCTAACCACAGGGCAATCACTCTGGCATTAGACACACTGCTTGGCATACACAGTACTGTTTAACTACTTGTAATCTTTTTCTCTATTTTTGTAAATGTTTTTCTTGACAACAGCCGAAAGAACCGGGAGGAGTCAATGATCAAAGCACTGAATCTTGTAACCCCAGCAGGACCAGGAGGACCAGGCTAGCCTGGTCTACATATCAACTCCCTCAATTTTTTTTTAAAATTAGTGTGTAAAGGTTTGTTCTCTTCTTCCATTGTGTGAGTCTCAAGGATTGAATTCAGGTCTTCAGGCTTGGTGGCAGGTGCCACAGGATAAAGGCATGTGTGAGCTGCCTCATTGGTTCCTACGCAGTCAGTCTGAGGTCATCTAAGTCTACATGCCTCGTAAACAAAGCAGAGAACCATAAGCTAAAGAAGCAGAGGGCGGCCAGCCAGCTACTCTTCCCCCTTTCCCTCCAGGCACCGGGAACAGCCTTGGGAAGCAGCCTGGAGACAGTGCAGTTTTACCTCAGCAGCCTTCAGTCCTCATCTTCAGACTTCATCTCAAAGCCCTTCCGGATGTGCCTTTCCTCGCCGCCTGCCTTTCCTGACGTCTTCCTCCCGGAGACTCAGGGTGAGGTTGGGAGGTGTTCATGGAGGCACACGCATCTGCCTAGACAGGTATGTGCTTCCTCTGCGCTCTAAAACGCCTTTCCCTCGTTCGACATAGTATTCTATTTATGTGTGTGTGTGCTTTACCTGCACGTATGACTGTGCATCACAGAGGCCAAAAGAGATATCGTTACCCTGGAGCTCTAGAGGTCTGTATGTGGGTGCTGGGAATTGAACCCTTGACCTCTAGAAGAACAGCCAACTCGAATCGTTTGCTTGCGGAGTGCCCCAGGCTCCCACGGCGTCTGTGCTCTCCCACTGTCCACCTCCCGTCCAGTCCTGTAAGTGTTCTCTCCCACTGTGTTTCACCTGCGGGCTCGGGACGAATACTCATTCCCAAGCACGCCAACACCACAGAGGGTGCCGAACCTGCACTCTGACCAGCTGAGCCAGAACCTACAAACACGAAGCCATTTAATTCCCGAAGCAGCCACACCTCAAGGCTTTCTCTATACATTTCTAACTGCGCTCACACGCCAACACGCACACTCATGCCTCTAAGACTCTGTCTCTGCCTTGCTGGTGTAAGGAGCATCCCGTCCCAATCCCCTGCACCCAGACCCCTTCCTGCAGCCTCCTCCCAGGACCCCTTGGTGGTTCAGTGTGTAACTGCAGACAGGAGTGCACCCTGCCCCCAACTTTACAACTCCCAGGCTTGGCAGCTCTCAGCCAGCCACTTCCTTCAGCAGGGAGTGTCCCAGCATCTCTACGCCAGGTCCTGCCCTCGGGAGACCGCTCAGCAGTGGGCCGCAGGTCACCCCTGTGGCCTTCCTCTGCTTGCACAGAACTGGTATGTCTTAGTGAAAAGTGATCAGATCTGTTTTATTGGCTATACAGAAAACTATCATTTACGGTTACTATTTCATGCCCAGAGTGTCCTCCTACGGTCTGTTCCCCAGCTTCGTGACACGGCTGGGTCAGGAGAGAGGATGACTTCAATCCTGGGCAGATGCCAGTAGCCCTGGAGGCCTACGGGAGCCACAGAAGAAGCACTTTTGCTGGTGAATGATGATCCTCTCGTCTGGTCCCGCAATAACTGTTTTTTGCCAGAAAAGAGACGTTACAGGATCCCTCCAGAGTCAACCCAGCAAAGGCAAGGGACAGCTTTGCATGTGAGTGAGAGCCTGTGGCTCGCCTCTATGGTTGGAGGCAGCAGAAAGGCCCCAAGAAAAGCAGGTCAGATGCCCCCAGTGGAGGGAGGCTAGTGACGGGCTGGATTTCCCCACCAGGCTAGCCTCCCTTCCAATGTCAGACAATAAGAATCCAGAGCTGAAGTATAGACAGGAGGTCCATGCAGACCGCCCACCCTGGGTCATGGCCTGGCTCTGCTACTCCAGAGGGATGCCAGGTGGGAGGTCTTTGAGGTCCTCCTTCTCCGGGTATATGTCTGACACTTTGTTCTTCTTGGCAAAAATTTGGTTGATCTCAATGAATGACCTGCCTTTGGTCTCTGGGATAACCAAGAAGATGTAGATGGTGGTGAGCAGACATATGATTGCAAAGATGATGAAGCTGTAGGCACCAAGGCCCACCTGTGGGGAGAGGGATCAGTGAGGGATGTTATGTTTTCGGGGTATGCTAGGAGGTTCTGGCTTAGTGGCTTGGGGGCTTGCTGGGACTCACTTGAATGAATGGGAAGATGAGCCCCACGGCGAAGTTGGAGAGCCAGTGGACACTGCCTCCAATCATGTAGGCAGAGGGCCTGGAGGACTGCAGGAAGATCTCCGTGATTAACAGTGCAGGGATGGGGCCTGGGAGAGAAAGAACAGAGGGGTGAGAGAGAGCCTCAAGAAGGAGGGGCAAAGCGGAGAAGATTAGAAGGCAGGCAGGCTAGGGGAGACACCTCGGATAGCACAGTGGCTCCCAAAGGGTCCTTGAGACAATAGGTGTTTTGGCACCCTGACCACCTGGCCATGAGGACAGTGAATATCTCTAAGGCAAATGCAGTTCATGAGGATGGGGGGCATGATGGATGGCAGAGGCTGCCTGTGGCGCTCACTCTGCCAGTCACACATGGCAGTACTGTTGACCCATAGTGCCAGCTGCAGCCCCTTCTATCCTATGCTTAAAGGGGATGTCACTTGGAGACACCTCTACCCTCCCTGGGGATTCTCAGAGAAGATCATGCAGGAGCAGGATGTGGGCCCTGAAACCATGAGGCCAGCATGGGGATACATACTGGGTCCCAGGGCGTGACCTATGACATAGGCAATGACACAGATGATGCTGATGTAGGGCATCCAGACGATGGTGTTCTGTGGGGGCAGGAAAATAGGAAGTCAGTCCTTGGCAGTGCTAAGACCAGCTGGGACAGGAACTCTGGGGACTTCAGAGCAGAGATGGTACCTGGATCTGGAAGGAGCCAGCAGTGACTGCTTCACCACTCGATGAGACCTTAGAGGTCAGCTGAGAGGAAGCTGATTCGATGGGGTGGGGGGAGGCGAAATCATGGCCCCGAGACATCTGACTAGACTTGCTAAAACAAACTCATTTTGGTGCCTCATCCCTTTACTATTGTGAACACACAGGTTGGGAGCAGCAGGGTGCCGGTCCCGAGCAGGGTCACTAGCGCAGCTCTCACCTGTGTGGAGAGCTGTGTCCTCTTCCATACTGTCCCTCCACACTTGTACGTGTGTGTGTGTGTGTGTGTGTGTGTGTGTGTGTGTGTGTGTGTGTGTTGAAAGCAAATCTGAACAACTACCCCATATGTGTTGGAAGGAACGTGTGGACGCAGGTTGATAGCATCTGTGTGTGGTCGTGTACACTATTGTGGGTCCAGCTGGGGTGGGGGATAGTACCTTCCCTTGTAAAACTGTTTAAAATTTCAGTAAAATAGTTTGAGAACAGCCTGGTCTACACGCTGAGTTCCAGGACAGACAGAACTACATAGGAGACCTTATCTCAACAACAACAAAAAAATCTGTTTAAAAAGAGTACCCCTCACTCTGGAAGCACAGGCAGGTGGATCTCTGAATTTAAGGCCAGCCTGCTCTACAAGCGAGTCCAGGGCAGCCAGGGCTATCCAGAGAAACCCTGTCTCAAAACAAAACAAAACAAAACAAAACAAAACAACAAAAATAAATAAATAAATAAATACATAAATAAGTATCCTTCATTCCTTTTCCATTCTTTTTCATCATAGTATTTACTATGCTGTTCAGTAAATGCAGGACAAAGCCCTTTCTTAGAGACGGGCGTCAGGGACACAGACATCACACACACACAACAGAGAACACAGACCACGAGCTGAGGACAGGTGGAGAGCAGGGGAAAGCTGCTCCCTCTTGGTTTACAGTACCAGGAGGAAGCCTGCCTCTCTCAGTACCAGGAGGAGGCCTGCCTCTCTTTCATTTCTTCGTGTGGCACCGATGCATTTTGGCGCCTTCCCTGAGCTTTCTTTACTGGGTCACCGTCACAGCGTTCCTTACCTGCAGCGCCAGGGCAGCCGTCAGCACGATACAGGATATGAGGCAGGTGGAGAAGCCAAGGAGGAGGAGAAGCCGTCTTCCCCAACACTCTACCACAAAGATCTGGAGGTGTGGGAGGCAGGAGGTGAGCTTCTAGAGCCGGCGCCTAGGGTTCCTGTGGGGACAGCGCACCCCACCTGGGGCTGCCATCGCGGGGACGCCCTCGCTGCCTCTCAACCAACTTTCGAAGAGCCAGGAGGTTTGCAGGCCCAGCCACGGGTGTGTACATAATCGTACAAGCAAGTACATCCGTGTGTCCTTGTGGCCAGTGGGGAGGTCTGGCTAGGCCCAAATGTTCACTCTTCAGTGAGAGCCCACATTAAAAGCCTCAGTCCCACGGCTCTAGGCCTCGAGTGGGAGCATCTGAGCGGGGGTTTGAGCTTCTACTTTTAGGGGTCTGGGGCTGCTCCCCACTAGAGTCAGGGATACCCTTAGAACAGAGCTTTGAGGTGGGAACATCAAAGCCCAAGGGTCCCATCCTTCAGGCCCAGCTCCCTGTCCAGGTATCACTCTGTCCTTGGTGGCTTGTGGATACTCACTGTGACAACGGTCATGAACACGTTGACCGCCCCTGTCCCAGCCGTCACATACTGGACATCGTCGCTTTTCACACCTGCGCTGAGGTAGATCTCATCGGCATAGTAGTAAATCTGGAAGAGAGCCATGGGGCATGGAGGAGGACCTCAAGTGTAGGAGGCCAGCGGCCCACTGCCCCCAGCCCCTCAGAGATGTGTGCAGGGGTCATTCCCGGCACTTGGCCAAGCACTGCCTCCTGCCCCCAAGCTCACAGGTGGCCCGTACCGCGTTCACTCCTGACAGCTGCTGCCCGGCCATGAGGACGATGACAGAGATGAGCTGCCAGCGCAGTGACTGCATCTTGAAGAGTTTCCACACAGAGATGAAGCCCTCGGCCTTCTCAGCCTCATCCTCCCTCCGGATCTCCTCCATCTCATCGGTCACATCTTTCCAACCTCGAAGTGTCTGCAGGGCTGAGGGAGAGCCGAGCCGAGGGCTTGAACACAGGGCTGGTGGGTGAGCCTGGGGACCCAGGAGTGAGCCCGGGGTCCAGAGAAACCCGCCGCAAAAGCTCACCTTTCTCAGCAGCCAGTTCATTTTTTTTCTCAATCAGCAGGTAGCGGGGACTCTCGGGGAAGAAGGGCAGGAAAACAAGCTGCAGAGCTGCAGGGACTCCAGTTAGTCCCAGGAGGATGGGCCAGCCTGCAAGCAAGGGTCTACGGTCACAGTGTCCTGTCCCTCCACTCTGTACTCTGCGCCGTCACCCCGAGGCATGATGTGGCTGTCTGGGGACAAAGCTCAACTTTTTCGGTGGGTGTGTGCCGCCTCTTTACACAGTGGCTATGGCATGACTGACCCTGCGCACCTACGAGGTGGCAAACAGACATCTGGCAAAGCCAAATGTGAGCAAGACCACGGGCAAACGGGAGGCCTCCGAGCGCCATTACACAGACCTGAGTTGTCCTTCGGGGACCAACTGGCTGGAGCATTCTGAGTCCGACCTTGCCATCCCAGCCCGGGTTTGTGTCCGGGGAGGCGTGGGGAGGGGGGACAGAAAGGCACCCACACTGGAGTGGTCAGGGCAGCACTGATCAACTCAGAAGCAAAACCAGCAGTAATGCAAACGTCCACTACTGTCCATGCAGAATGGGCACAGTAGCCATTCTGAGGGCCTAGGATGCAATTTAAAACTGCAGTGAAGACAGCGATGACCCGGACAGATCTGCCCAGGGTGACATGGAGTGGACCAACTCAATGCCCAATGAATGTCCTTACATCAGGCTCAGAACCGGAGTCCACCCTCCCATCTCCAAAGGTGATGAGCTGGACCCGAAGAAAGCAAACAACACCAGCTTAGGTCGGCACAGGGGCTCCTTTCAGGGACGGGAGGGTGTTCTTGGGGGGCTGGCACAGCTCTCTCTTGACCTGGGGAATGGTCACAAGGCCTCCGGCTCCTTTTTCTTTAGACTTACTGGGAATCAGTAATTGTGATGCGTTCACAATAAAAATGGCTATAGAAAGGGCTGGAGAGATGGCTCAATGCCTAAGAGCATTTGCTGCTCTTGCAGAGGATCCGGATTTGGTTTCTAGCACCCACATGGTGGCCCAGAGCCACCTGTGGCTCCAGTTCCGGGGGACCCCACAGCCTCTTCCGGCCTCCATAGGTACCAGGCAGGCACTTGGCGCACAGACAGACATACACGTAGCCAAAACACCCATCTGCATAGAATAAATGGCTAGAAAGGCAAGCAAACATTCTGCCCCCTGCTGCAGTCATCTCTGGCTCTCTCGCCTTTTCTCCTGTGCTCTGGGCCAGTGACACCATAGATGTCTGTGTTCCAGGGGCAGACCTAACTGCCTGTCACATCATGCCCTGCTGACGCACCCTTAGGGGGTAGGAGCCAGACAGCCCTGTTTTACACACGCAGACACTGAGGCTGGCAGAGTCCGGGCCCTTTACCGAGATCACATAGTTATTTGAGAGCAGAGCTGTATGGATACCGGCTCAGTCTGGCTGCTTGCGGGCACACGGCTGACCCGGCTCATCCCAAGGGAGGCGGTTGTCAGCTGGTAGCTGGTGGCACAACAATCACGTGTCTCCCTTCGTGATAGGTCTCATGTAGTGGGCTGGCCTGGACTCTGTCCTCCTGCCTCAGCCTCCCGGGGGCTGGGATTGCAGACTCGCACCATGACGCCCAATGTAAGCGCGTTTTTTGGCCGGGGCTGGCCAGCAGGCATGACGTCAGAGGGGGCAGGAAGGAGGCACCCAGTGTCAAGGCTGTACAGCGGTCATGGTTGGGAAGCAGATCTGGGTTATTGTCTGGGGATCCCAGTTTTTACGTTTTTATCACATTTGTTTATTTAATGGTATGTGGGTATGTGTGTAGAAGAGGGAGAAAGAGAGGGGAGAAAGAGAGGGAGAAGGGGAAGGAGAGAGCCGGAGAGGGAGATAGAGAAATGTCACAGAGATCACGTACAGATCAGAGACGGTCTGTGGCGTCGCTTTCCTCCCTCTACCATGTGGGTCCTCAGGTCATCTCATTTGGCGCTGAATGCCTCTACATACTGAACCGTCCCACTGGCTTTTTTTTTTTTTTTTTTAACGGAATGTGACTCGGGCTGGCCTCAGACTTGCTATGTGTTTCAGGATGACCTTAAATTCTTCAGTCTCCTTCCTCCACCTTCTGAGCGCCGGGATGACAGGTGTGTGCCACTCTAACTTCCCTCACCTTCGATAAATGAGAGACAGGCCTCATTTAGCTGTCATCTTCCTCAAGGCACATGTGGACCTCTGCACCTTCACCGGTAAGCTACAGCTTCTGGCCAAGAAATTGGCTTGTTTCACCCAGAATATGAGTGTCCAGCACCATGCTCAGCTTCTGGCGCACCACTTTCTAGATGGGAGCATCGTCCCCCACCATCCTTTTGCTGCCCCTTGATCAGAATTGGGGCCCAAGATCATCCTGGAACCCTGTGCCTACCTCCCGATGCCCTGTCTGTGGCTAGTGCTGCTGCTCTTCCTTCTCCCGTGAGAGCCATGGTCACCAGCCTCTGGGCCCCTCCTTCTGGTCCCCTATACCCTTCTCACTGAGTCACCAAAGATGCCGCAACAATAACCCTGATCCCGCTTCTCAACCATGACCTCTCTACAGCCTTGACACTGGGTGCCTCCTTCCTGCCCCCTCTGACGTCATGCCTGCTGGCCAGCCCTGCGTGAGCAGGGATCTCACCGAGGACTCTAAAAGGGGAAAGGTCCAGCCCCAGCCCTGCATCACAGGAGAGTCACAGACAGGGGTGGGGGTCGGGTGGGGGTCGGACGTGCCACCCTTTGGCAGTTCCCTCAAAGGACAAAGGATTGACATCCTGGCCTCCTCTGCCCAGGCAGAGCTGTCCCTGTCCCGAGCAGGGCAGGGCAGGGCAGGACAGGGCAGGGCAGGGCAGGGCTTGGCTCCAGGCTACGAGTCCTGCTGCCTGGGGCTCCCTGAGATTCAACCCTAGTTCATTCATTTGGGGTCCCAGCCTCTGGGGCTAATGTGGCGTCCCTGATGGACGTATGCAGGAACAATGGGAAGATGGGGGAGGGGGAGGCTGGGGAGAGTGTGGCAGTGCAACACGGAACCAGGTCCAGGCTGCAGGGTCTGAATCTTAACAGGACTTTGGACCAGTTTCTCTTGTGCTGAGTCTCCAGTTCTGTATCTGTAAAATGGGTGTGTTTTGCGTACGTGATCTCGTGAGGCTGCTGGGAGGAACAAGTGACCTATTACAGAAGACATGGAGCCCAGGCCATGGCAGGCGCATCGTTGAGCCTGGTCTCCCTTCCAGGAGCTCAAAGCTCATGAAGAAAGAAAGAGGGAGGAAAGAGAGAGAGAAGAGGAGGTGTTTGGGGACAAGGGCTGGGCTCGGGGCGCAGGTGTGCACAGATCTCTGGCTTTGGCCTCCAGCACTGCATAAGACAGTTGTGGTCTTGCTTGCCTGCAATCTTGGTCCTTGTGGGCTGGAGGCAGGAGGATCAGGAATTCAAGGTCAGCTCTGACTACAATGTGAGTTTGGGACCAGACTGGCTTACATGAGACTGTGGTTGCAAAAAAAAAAAAAAAAAAGTGAAAAAGGTAGCTCAAGACTTGAGACAGAAAGAGGAAGAAACGCTGCCGCTCTTCGGCATAATTTCATAATTCAGGAAACCCTGTGTCCTCTGAGCTGCGGGCAGTCACTTAGCAGTCCAACGGAAATAGGCCCCTCCTGTTCGGTGGGGACACTGTGGTCTCTTGTTACAGACCTATGATGCGCACTGTGAGCTCCAGACAGAGTGTGCCACCAAGGGTGGTCTTCACTGGACGGAACAGGGAAGTCGGTGGGAAGTCGGTGGGCAGAAGCTTCCAGAAATGGCAACAGGGGCTTTGGGGAGACAAGGCAGGGACAGGGCTCTGTTCTCACCTTTCTCGTTGGCCAAGAGATTACGAAAGCCGAACAGCTGGGCCACAAGGATGCCGATCGTGATGAAGAGCTGGGGAACCACCCCGAGAGCCCCTCGCAGGTTTTTAGGGGCCAGTTCCCCTAAGTACATAGGGACCACATTGGAAGATATGCCTGGAAGGAGAGTGGAGATAAGCAGACAACCAGGAGACAGCCTGGGAGGGACAAGCCGTGTCTCCAAAGACTCACTGTGCTGGTCAAGGGCGGCATCTGGCCTGGCCCTCCCTTAAAATGGGGACAACTCAGTCAGTTAATGAGGACCTGAGTTCAACTCCCAGAACCCACATAATGCTGGATGTGGGAGTCCACAGTGGTGATCTCAGTGCAAGGGTGGGGAGCCAGGCAGATCTCTGGAGCCTGCAGGCCAGCCAGCCTGGGCTAACCAGGGAGAGACCCTGTCTCATTAATATGTAGAGCTCCTGAAAAACAATACCTGAGGTGGACCTCTAGCCGCCACACACGTGGCACCCGAGTCCACACACACCTGTGCGTACCTGTGCACCCCACCTCTCACATTCCAGAATACAATGGATGGATGGATGGATGGATGGTTGGATGGTTGGATGGTTGGATGGATGGATGGATGGTTGGATGGATGAATGGTTGGATGGATGGTTGGACGGATGGTTGGACGGATGGATGGACGGATGGATGGACAGATGGTTAGATGGATGGATGGTTGGATGGATGGATGGATGGTTGGATGGATGGATGGATGGATGGATGGATGGATGGATGGATGGATGGATGGATGGTTGGATGGATGGATGGACGGA